GCATCTTAGTATATTATTTAAACCCTAAGAACATTTAACCTTAAGTACTCCAAGATATTTAACCAATTAGAAAATGGAGTGCACTTTTATTTATAAAACATTTCCCTTTATATTTAAACTCTATTGAATTGTTTCTTAAATCATTCTCTTTAGTTGTTTAAATCCTCCTCATAAATGGAATTTAGGAGCCATAACTCTTATAAGAGCCCCATTCTCTTGATATCCTATCCTTTGGGTTAAACCTAATTAGCAAAATATACTTGCTAAATGTTAATTTTAACATGTGGCCTAGCCAACCAATAGAGTCGAACTTGAGTCAATCTCAACATATAATTTACTTTAGCCTAGTATTATTCAAACCTTTAATTTCATTGATCCCAAAATCTTTAATTGATTAGAAATTTTTTATTTATGGACCCTTTCTTTTTATATTTACCAAATATCAATTTCAATAAATAGCATAATTCCCCTATCCAACCAATAGAGTCGGACCTAAAACCTACTTTGATACTAAATATAAGCTACTATGTTTTGACTTTCTAAAATGTTACCCACTATTCAAACCCAAAAATTATTAACCTTAAGTATCCCAAAACCTTCAATTAATTAGAAAAGGATGTGCATTTTTATTAATAGACAATTCCCTGAACCCTATTGGATCATTTATCAAGTTAAATTATTCTCTTTGGTTACTTAGAATAAAATCCCAAGAAATATTGGATATTATGAATAAAAGTTGGGTATCACCAGTTAAAAATGGTAGAAACCTTGGTATGAGGAAATAATATAACCTAAAAACTTTATCAAATCTTGATTAAAATAACATTTTGCCAAGTTTGTAAAAAGACTATATTATAGGCTAAAAATGGGTAGTAATATACAAAGGCTTTGAGATTCATAAAGAAGGAATAACGCCAAAGATGAGGAAAAGGAGATGACTTGTTTAGTTAAATATACCTTAATTCAATTAAAAATTCTTGTTTTCCAAAAGCACATATGCTATATTTTACTCTAAGAGGAAGATGGTGTCATAAATACATTAGAGGAAGAGTAATTTTGGAGAAATCTAAAATAAAGCACTAATATAAATTTAAAATCCAAGAAAGTATTGCACATCACAAACAAAAATTAGGTATTGCCACTTCAGAATGGTGAAAACCTTAGTAAAATCCATGATGATGCGGCATGAAGAAAAACATTATAACCCAAAAATTTTATCAAAATAACACTACCATATTATAAACTAAAAATGGATTGAAGATTTGTGAGAAGGAATAGAGCTAAGAGGAGATGACTCATCCAATTAAACATACCTTGGAAGTTCTTGTTTTCTGCAACCACAAGTGTTACATTTATTTTTCTGTCTTTTAAAGCAATAAGGATATTGACTTTTTAAAGTTTCAAAATTAGCAGCTATGGATATAAGAGCACTATTATATTAAATGATTTTTTATTATAAAGTGAAATTATAAAAATCATGAAAGTTTAGGAGGTTTATTAGATATTTCTTGATGTGTATAATTCTCACTCTTGTAAATAATATTTTTAAAATGTTTATACACATTTATTATCATTAAATTTCAATCAAAACATAAAAAAGAAAACTTATAATGTAATATGTTTAATTTACTATCTATGATAAAAAAAATTATTTCTACACATTGCATGTAGCAATGCTTGGTTTTCTTAATAGTAGTTTTATTTTTACTTATTAATTCATTTGATCAAATAAAATTTATAATAATATGTATGTTTGTAATTTATAAACACAAGATTAATCTTATTTCATATCAACCATTAGATGATAGAATCAAAAAGAATATACTAGAAAGGGTTTAAGAAAGTTTATAAATTATAAATACAAGATTAATTTAAATCTGTTAGATGGTAGAATATCCTAGAATATTTAAATATATTCTAAGTATATCCACTATAGGTTTGCTTAAGCAGTAAATCATCAATATTTGAAATAATGTAATTGAACATATTCATGTGCTCCCTCCATGGTACTTTTGGTTGCAGTGGTTATGAAATCAGAGCACTTGTGCTACTTTCTATGATTGGAGAGAAAGCCTGACAAAATAAATTTAAACAGAAATTTATTGTTATAAATGCAAATTCACCAAAAATATTCAGACTCTTATCAACTTATCTTATCTTTTCAAGCATTCACAAAAAAATAGATATGCTCATTAAAATTAATACACAAGTTTTTTATTTTAGCTATCATTGGATTTATCTTGAGCCATTGTAGCTGGATCATTGTTTTGCAATGTGATGGCATGGACATTATTAATTACATCCAACTGTGAAAAAATCCCAAAGGTCAGTGGAACTTAGTGGTCAAGCTTTTGGGCTTTGACCCAATGGTAGTGTTGGCCGGATTTAACAGCTCAGATTGTAACCTCTATTAAAAATTATGACTGACAGTTGGATGCTGTGTAAGATTGATTGTGTTTTATTTGGCGTCTGCCGAGGGGCTAGTTATCCAAGCTGCTGTCTGTTCACCACCACTTCCCACTGAGGAACTAAGTGAGATTCGGGAGGAAATGAAGATTGCAGGCGAGGAGGATTTAAGTGAGGTGGCCATAGAGAGAGATACAGAACTGGTGGGTTTCTTCAGGCTCATGCTTTCCTACAGACGAAAGTGGAAACGGGAGGCTTTGGAAGGTGAGCTGCATGCCCGCGTGAAATTGCTGGAACTGTTGAATCCCGCTCTTGGGAGTTAATGATATAATTTCCTCTTGGTTTGAGCGCGCTCTATTTCAAGGAAGCGACTATGCTCTTGGGAGAGAGACTTCGGACCTAGTAAGGTGGAACAGCTGTGAGTTGGATATTGCAGGTCCTCTCAAAGGTTTCTGGGGTCGATTTGTAACGGACCCCACGGAGACGAATATCCTTCAGGCTATCGAAAACCTCAGGCTGGAGGTGTGCATGGTTGACGAGGAGCAGGACTGGGATACAGTTAAGGAACAATGCGAGGCTTTCATGCACCTGGTGGCGGAGGCTATGAAGGTTGTTTGGGCATGCAGAAGCAAGTGACTTACTCCATTGCGGAAATGGCCCGCGCAACCAATCGACAGTTCCCTGATGGCCACATCTTTGTGAATGATTCTCCAAGAATGCCTGCAGAAGGCAAGTCAAATAAGAGCGTGGGTCGCAAGCTACAGGGAGAGCTGGTGCGCCTGGCAAATCAGTATTTCCAGCAGAGATACGAATCTTGGCCGTTGCTGAAGCACTACCCAGTTGACGCGTGGGGAGAGGGCATGAAAAGCATTGTGTGGCACTGCGCCAACGAGGCGTACCAGCGAGGGCTGAGGAGCAAAGCATGCGTCTGTGGCGTGAAGGGCAGCAAGTCAAAGTGAGAGCTACTGGCGGATACAGGATTGGTAGCGAACGTTTGGAGATGTCGGTCCACGCGAATGCAGCAGCGGCAGTGGAGGCGGTGATGGTAAACCGGGTCGCTCGTGCGTCGGCTATGTCAACTGTAGTCTCGGTGACGATGAATGGCGAGCAGTGGTGGTTGTCCGCTTGTTCAACCGCCGGCTGGTTGTCCTTGATCAGGCACTGTCGCGGGAAGATAGCACCCTTGGGGATGTCAAACACCGAGTACCTCAAGTCCGGTAAAGGTAAAGCCCCTGACAGTGCTCCTGAAATCCGGATCTGGATTGTAACCCAGTAGGAGAAGCTGGGGCCAAACAGGGACGACAGGCAAGTGGAAATGGTGCTCATGTCATCCAAGTGGACGTGGGAGTTTTGGTTCCAGGTTGAGCGTGACATGTTCTGTCACTCCCTGCTGCAAGACGAGGAACTGGCAGCCTTTCCTGGAGGTAATTGGGAGACCGGCCATGCTCATTCGAGATGCGGGTGTCGCGCTAGCGGAAAGGCCTCTTGTCTCTGGAGAAGAGGTCCGCCAAATGAGCAAGCAGCTCTACACGACGCTCGTCCAGGTCTACAACGTGCACGGCATTTGCCACAACGATATCACCCCCGGGAACATATGCTGCAAAGGTGGTGTGTACCGCCTCATCGACTGGGGGCTGCCCTGCGGCTCGGGGCTGGATCCCCTCATGGAAGCTGTAGCAAAGGCTCTCGTCACAGTCTCGCTTCCGCCGATAAAAGATTGGAGCCTGTCGCCAGACTGCGCTGTTCTTTCTGGAGCCTCGGTACTTGAAAGACTGCGTACAGGGACTACTGTACTGCTGCTTGATGCTGCTGAATGGTGTTGCTGCCTCCGGAACCGGTACCATGTTCTTTGTGCCTGGGATGAAGCTATTCGCAAGATGGCCAAAGATGAGAGTTTCATGGGGCAGCACTGGATCTTCAAGCATGAGCTCAAAAAGAGACTTCATTAGTTTATTATATTGCTATTTTATTTTATTTTAGTGAAGAAAATCAAAATGCATTGATTTTGACGGCATTTGTACTTTTTAAGAGGTGTCATAGAATCGCTAAATTTTTCAAAAGAAATGTTCTGATAATAAAAAAGGGGTATCAAGTTTGGGTGAAGGGCTAACCAAGTGGGTTATTTTGGCATGAGATAGAGAGAGAGAAAGAGAGAATGTTACTCTTAACGTTTTAATAAATCAATCTCCTGCTGCTAGCACCTTGTTTTTATTTGGCTCTATCAGACTGCCTTTACTTAAATCGGTCTTGATCGTTTCTTCATGACTTGTTAAACATTCTCCACAGTGATAAGAACTTATAAAGAAGATGGGTTCTCCCTCTTGGTCGCAGTTGAGCCACAAGAAACTATCTTGTTTGAGATGCTTGCAAACCAAGGACAAATATCAAATTTTATTGTAAAGTGCCGATATTACCTTTATTACCTTTCGTTTTGAAAATCACAGAAAAAGTTTTTCCTCTCAAAGGAATTTTTTTTTCTCTTGACCAAAGGAAAAGCTCCTGTCACATTGGACTGGATCTCCGTCCACGTGGACGGCTCGATGGCAGAAAGCCGCTAGCGAGGGTTTTAGCCAAACCCCTAGGGTTAGGGCAACAGTTGGGCAGAGAGAAAGGAGGGCGCTGCGGTTCTTGGTGCTTGGCTATGGCGTCCACCTCTTCCTCCTCCTCCTCCCCCGCATTCCCGGAGAGAAAGGGCTTCAAAGCCGACGCCGATGGGCAGCTCTACTACAGCCCCTACAGTGAGCTCTTTGGTGCCATGGATCAACACCTGTACAAGCTCCCCACCACCCCGGAGTTCCTCTTTTCGGAGGAGGCGACGTTCCAGCGGCGATCCCTGGGCGAGAACATCCAGTATTACACGGGCTGTGGCTACCTGGGCGGCGCGGTGGCGGGCGGCGCCAAGGGCCTGGTGGACGGCGTCCGGCAGATCGAGAGCGGCGACACCGCCAAGCTACGCGTCAATCGGCTGCTCAACTCGTCGGGCCACACGGGGAGGATGATGGGCAACAAGATTGGGATCGTGGGACTAATGTACGCGGGAATGGAGAGCGGCGCCTGGTACCTCCGCAAGAGCGATGATCTCCTCAATTCCGTGGCGGCGGGGCTCGCCACTGGCGCCTTCTACAAGGCCGCCGCCGGGCCTAGGACCGCCGCCATCGCTGGCGCTCTGGGAGCCATGGCGGCGGGGGGGATGGTCGTGGGAAAGCAAGCGGCAAAGAGATATCTTCCACTCTAGAGCAGCGCTTGAAGAACAAGACTATCTATCACTCGGTAAGTGTCTTTCTTCCAAGCTGGGAGTTTTGATCTCTGTGGCCTCTTTTCTTTCTTTCTCGCAGTTCTTGCGATCATTATATGGGCGGGGCGGGATCAGTCGATCGATCGATCAAAAGTTACTACAGCTAGAAGAGGGATTGAGAGGGCTTTTTTGTCAGGAATTTGTCGAAATTTAGTAGAATGCTTGAGATTCTCGAGTCCGCGGTGGCTGTGATGACCAAATTTTCCCGAAGATGAGGCTTGATCGCCTCTGAAATGGAAAGAATCATGAGTCTGAGCCACAATCTCCACAAAAATCTAAAACCAAACCCCTAAACCCCAAATCTTGAGTGCTAGAACCCTAAATCTTTGAGTGCTAGAACCCTAAAAGAAAGTACCTTCTTTTTCTCGCAATGGCGACTGCGAGGTGAGCAAATCTAGAACGCATCCTTGGCCGAGAGTGACTTTGTGAGCGCGCAGCAGCACTAGCAGCATCCGGCAGCAGCAAGGGCGGCAGCCGGAATTCAAGTACATCGTTCCACTGATCTACGCTCCAATCCTGCCGCTCAGTAAGCGATTTCTTTCTCGCCAGGGATTTATCATCACTTTTCGCAGTAAGGCTCGCGTTCCGGAAGAATCCCGAGGTGCGAGATCGAGTGTTTGCGGTAGCGCTCGGGATGGCGTTCGTGCACGGAGGCTATGTGATGTGAGTGAGCGGTGTTCTTCCCTTCTTTTCCACCATAGAACATAGCAAAAGAGCACTTTTTTTTGGCAGATCGGAGCTCTATCAGAAGGAAAGTAGCAGGCAGCCCAAATTGTGAGGCTGGATCGCGAGAAAAAAAAGAAGAAGATCTCCTACTTGATGATTCTTGTGGGAGGATACTCAGCTGGTTTCATCATCTCGAGAGTAGAACAGATGACCGATGCCGCGAGAGCAGTCTTGATAATTCCAATCTTTTTGGATCCCACCGCTGCTCCTGTCAATGCTCCAGCGAGTGTACCATTTATCTGGGAAAAGGAAGAAAAAGACGATTTTTTCATAAGATCCATGGTTTTGGGAAGAACTACAACTACGTACCCAATCTCTCTTCGTTCTCAGGACCTCAAAGCCACAGTTGAGACTCACGTAGAGTCCTCCGCAAAGTCCTGGAAGAACACAGAGAAAAGTTCTTCCAAATCACTCGAGAAGAAATGGTGAGATGGACTTGCTCACCCCATTTCACGCTGTTGTTGGCGATAGCTTTGGCCTGCGATCGAGCAAAGAAGAAGTCATGGAAGAACAATGTAGGATGGAATTTTTTTTAAGTACCACATAGGACGCGTTCGCCAATCCGGACAGTCCTGCCAAACGAAGAGAAGGATGATCGATGGAGATGGAGAGATTCCTGCCAATACCTTTCTTGCCAGCGTCGTATGATCCCACGAACAATCCCCACGAGAAGCCGGCCTGGAGAAGCAAGCGCGATTACCATGAGAGGAGGAGGAGGGGCAAGGCGAGAAGGAGGAGATTACCATTCCCATCCGGAGGAACGCGTCCACGGTGCGCGACGAGCATGGAGGCTGATCAATAGCGGTCATGAAATCTCTTCTCTTCTAGGTTCTTTAGGGTTTGCTTTGCTCGATATTTCGTCCAGGGAGCGCCGTGATGCCGCATTGCTCCTGAATCTTCCTGGGGATTGATCGCGTCGCGGGGATTCGCTCGCGGTATTTCCAGCTCGATTGGATGATCCAGGAGAGTTTGGGACGAGGTTAAGGTGGGATTCTATGCTCCTGGAGCATTTGCTCACGGAGTTTTGTGTTCCAGCTGCTGAAAATTTGTTGGACTAGCAGCATGGACAACGATGCGTGCTTGTTCCGGGAATCGGCCAGCACACTGCAGTGTTTTGATGCGATTTTCGCTACTTCCAGGGACAAGAAACCGCGAAAATCACTCCTGCGCGACGAATGCGTAAGTTTTTCCTTCGTTCTAGCTGATCTTCTCGTCAAGTCTAAAGCCATTCTTCTCTTGGCAGCTATGGCATCGAGGAGGTCTCGCAATCTCCAGGGACAGGCACTTGCGAAAACCAAGTTTGCGAGACAAACACGTAAGTTTCGCTCGTCAAGCTCGAAGTGTTTTTGAAAGATTTTCCTGGCAGCTACTCCGCGAATGCCAAAGACGAGGCGGCACGGGATGTGCTTACATACTTGGACTCTCGATCTCTTCTCACCTCTTTCAAGGATTGTGCAAGTCTGGCAAGCAAGGAAGAATGCAGGGACGTCGGTGGGATCTTGGTGAAAGTAAACTCTTTGGAGAAAGCCATGGCTGCTCATGCTGATGGTCTGAGGAACGGGTTCGACTTGGACAGATTTGCCGCCAGCACTCTGATCGATGTGTACGCGAAGTGTGGCAGCATGCTGGACGCTCGACTGGTCTTTGACAGGCTCCGACACCACGACGTCGTGTCATGGACCGCATTGATACAAGGCTTCGCAGAGAATGGGGAAGAAGAGGTGGCGCTGGAGCTCTTCTCACAGATGCAAACTCAAGGCAGTTGTTCAGCGAACGCTCGGACTTTTCTCGCTGCTTCGAACGCTTGCACTGGTTTAGCGAGGAAAGAAGAGGGGCGACAGGTTGATGGAGGAAAGATGGTGAAGATCGGGTCTCTGGAACGGGGGCTCTCCGTGCACTATCAAGCTTTGAAGGCTGGCTGCGATTCCAACGTGTTCTTGACGAGCTCGCTCATCAACATGTATGCGAAGTGTGGGAGCTTGCTGGACGCTCGTATGATCTTCGACAGGATGCGTCATCACGACGCATTCTCTTGCACGGCGCTGATGCTCGGCTATGCTGACAACGGAGAAGAAGAGCTGGCCTTGGAAATATGCAAGCTTCTCCAGTTCAGAGGTTCTATTGCTGCTGGGATTTTCACTGCTGCTCTCAACGCGTGCACAGCTCTGGCAGCCAAGGAAGAGTTCCAGCAAGTTGATGGCCGGCTTCTCAAGGTGGCGGCTCTCGAGAAAGGAAGAGCGATCCATTTGAAAGCTGTAGAGACGGGGCGGGACTTGGACTCTCACGTTGCATGCTCGCTCCTCAACATGTACGCGAAGTGCGGGAACCTGGTGGAGGCCTTCAGAGTCTTCGAATCCATGCCTCTCCGCGACGTGGTGTCGTGGAACGCGCTAATGGCCGGGTTCGTAGACAACGGGGAAGAGGAACTCGCTCTGGAAGTTTTCTGTCGAATGGGACGACCGAACCGCAGGAGCTTCTTGACGGCACTGAAAGCTTGCAGCCGCCTGGCACGGAAAGAGGAGGCCACGCCGGTTGATGGAAGGCTGGTTCGAGTGAAGGCACTGGAAATGGGAGCTGCCATTCACTCTCAGGCTGTGGAGCACGGCTGCGACTCGGACCTCTTCCTGGGCAGCACTCTGGTAGACATGTACGCCAAGTGTGGGAGCTTGGTGGAGGCACACAAGGCATTCAGTAGCATGCCAAGGCGGTGTGTTGTCTCGTGCAACTCTTTGATCCATGGCTACGCCGAGAGTGGTGAAGAGAGGCTAGCTTTGGAGCTGTTCGAGGCCATGCCGCAGTTTCCAGGCTGCAAACCGAACTCCCGGACTTTCATCGGTGCGCTCAACGCCTGCATCAGTCTGGCGGCCAAGGAGGAAGCCAAGCAGCTGTTTGGAAGGCCAGTGAAGCTGGAGGCCTTGGACATCGGCATGAAAATCCATTCCAAGGCTGCCGAGCTTGGCTGCGAGCTTGACAAGTTCGTTGGATGCTCGCTGGTGAACATGTACGCCAAGTGTGGGAGCCTGGATGACGCTTGGCGGGTGTTCCACGGCATGCCCCGTCGAGACGTGGTGTCCTGGAACGTACTGATACTGGGATACGCCGAGAGCGAGCAGCCGGAGGTGGCCTTGAAGCTCTTCGCACGAATGCGAGACGAGGAGAAAGGCTGTGAGGCGGACTCTGGGACTTTTCTTGCGGTGCTCAAGGCTTGCGCAAGCCTTGTGGCTCTGGAGACCGGGCAGGCTCTTCACAGGGACGTTTATCGGCATGGACTCGAAGATGACATGGTTCTGGCTACTTGCTTGGTGGACTTCTACGCCAAGTGTGGGGGTGTGGCAGCTGCTCAACGGGTGTTCGACTCGTTTTCTACGACGAACATCGTCAGCTGGAGCGCACTGATAACAGGCTACAGCCACCAGGGAGATGTGAAGCAAGTCCTGGATCACTTCCGTGATATGGAGGACGAAGGAGTGCAGCCAAATGCTGTGACGCTCACTTCCGTGCTCGCGGCTTGCAGCCATGCGGGCCTGGTTGACGTCGCCAGGGACTACTTCCAAGCGATGAGCTTCAAGTATGGGATTCGTCCGGGCATCGATCACTACCACTGCTTGGTGGATGTGCTCGGGAGAGCCAACCATTTGGACGAAGCAGTGGCTGTGGTAAACACCATGCCTTTCGAAGCCAACGCCATGACTTGGAAGACGCTGCTGGGAGCATGCCGGAAGTGGAAGAACGTAGAGTTTGGGAGGCTTGCATTCGAGTCGCTGCTGGAGCTCGACGAGAAAGACGTGGTTGCCTACGTCTTGATGGCCAACATATATGGGAGCCGGGGCATGGTGGAAGAACAGCAGCATGTCGAGACGATGAAGGCGGGTGCTCGAGACGAGAACTCGGTGGCCGAGCGGAGCTGGTGGACTGAAGATACTGGCACGGTTCACTCGTTTGAAGCTGGAAACGATGCCAGACATCCGCAGTCTCAAGAGATACTCAAGAAGCTCGGCGACTTTGCGGTGGAAATGGAGGAGGAAGGTGGAAACAAGCGTCTCTGTTGTCACAGCGAGCGAATGGCCATTGGTTGTGCGTTGCTGAACACGATGCCGGGGACAGCCATACGTATCGTGAAGAACTCTCTGCTCTGCGATGGCTGCCACAAAGTCGCAGCAGCTATCTCAATGCTGGAGAAGAGAACCATTATATGCCGGGATGCAAGCCGGTTTCACGTTTTCAAGGATGGGACCTGTTGCTGTGGTGACTACTGGTAACAGGTATGCTTCATTGGTTTTTTTTTCTTGCTTTTCAACTCGTTTTAATACAGGGCTGTTGGGAACAAGATCAGTTAAGTCGAACCTCTCTTCCATCGCTCTTTGATTTCAGGTTGACGTTGGGCATCTTGCTCATAGATGTGACGAAGTGAAGGAAGCTTTGTTTAGGAGTGGACAAGCGGCCGAGTGGATGCGTCCTGTGTCAGCTCCTGTTGTCACACAAAATAACCTCTTTGGACAGGCGTTGTGGAGCTCAGCAACGCGTCCTACCAAATGGTATGCGTCAACAAGTCATGATTTTCTGACTTGGCAGAGTTTTCATTTACCAAGCAGGTTGACGAGATCATTTCTGGACTCGAGGCCCATTGCTTGCAGTCATTTGCTCGAGACAAATGGTCCTCGGTGGGAGAAGTAACAACTGATGCACGACTACTCTTCTATAATGATCAAAAATAAGTTACTAAACTCCAAACAATGCTTGACAACCTCCAAAGCTTGAATCACATCTCCTGAACCCTTCAGAGGCTGATAAGCTCCAACCAGTTTTGCACTTCCTCAATTGTCCATGTAATCACATGGTCGTGTGGGCATTCCCAGCTACATGTAGAGCTTCCCATGGCATATGTAATTAAATCAGAAAAATGAAGACACTAGCTTCTTTAGGCATATAAAGGTAGTACTTATGATTGGAGTCTTGATGTCCAAATGTTTGGAGAAACACTAAATCCACCAGAAGTATGATCCTGCCACAAATACGTCTTCAGATATAAGAAGAGCAACAAGAACACAGTTCCTTCTTGAAATTGGAGAACTTAGCTAGGAAATTTGATTGTTTGAATGGTGATCATTATGCATTGGTTAAATAGATGAACTAGACCATTTCTGGTTACATTCATCCAGGGCATAAGATCATCTGTCTGGTAACCCAGTACCAATCACGATTGCACAATATCTTGAATTTTTCTTATGTCACCTGTATTGTGGACAATCTCAGCTAGTAAAAAAACAAAATGAGGCTAGAAATCAAAATGACACCAAGACTTGCACTGCTGATGCTCACTAGCCAATGTACTCATGTACATGTCTAGGCTGCACATCAGAAGTGATTTGCAGCTTGGTCTTGGATTTGATTGAAAATGAACCTACACCCAACACCAAACACTAAAGTTGCAAGGAGTTTCTCCACCACGTTTCTGGCCACATAAACAGGTATTGAATAGCTTCCCATTGAGTTTGTGCTTTGGTTTTTGACTCGTCCCTCACCTGTAGGAAGATTTCATGGCAAGAATGCTGGAACACAATATGGCGGCATATGAGGACATTACTGACTCTGCACAGGTAAAGCTTGTGGGGTAGCTGATCTGTTGTCTAATTCTAAGGACAGGATGATTGTGATTGGACCAGATGATGAGATCCATGAGGCAAAGGAAAGCAATCAGGTTTTAAAACCCATTTTTGGACGTCACTTTTGATGTGTGGCCCGGACATATACCTCAGTACATTGGCTAGTGAGCATCAAACAGTACAAGTCTCCTCTAGTTTTGATTTTTAGCCTCTTTTTTTTTTTAAATAAAGAGAC